TGGCTCAGGTGGGGTGGGGGAAACTCATTATTGCTTCTAGTTGGGGCCCCAAAGGTGGTTTGGGGTGGTCGGGGGGTTCTAGGAGGCGGTTCTTGGGGATCCGCGGGGCTGCCGGTGCATGGCTTTGGCGCAGAGTTGGTGACTGAGTAAGTGATGGTTGTTTTGGTGGCGTTTGGGGACCAGGTCCAGACGAGGGACCCAGGAGCAGGGGGTGATGCTGCAAAATGGGGGGCGATAATCGGGGGAGTGTTACGTGGGACCACGCGGGGCCAGCCCGGAGGAGGCGACGCTCCCGCTGGCTCTGGGCTTTGTACCCTGAGAGGAGAACTGAGGGATGAGGAGTAGAGTTTCTCCATGTGCCCATCACTAAAGCACCAGGCCAGCTTCCCATAGCAGAGCAGCTCTGAGCCCCCGGGGAAGGCAGGTGGGGGCTTTGTGTAGCCAGAGCCAGGACAGGAGCTGTGGGGTGGCCAGGAAGGGGCCACAGCGAGTTTCCCAGGGGAGTGTGTATCTTGTTTTTTTCCTTTTTTAATCACTAACACTTAACTCACCCGACCAGATCCAGCTCTTTCAGCCAGGCTCTCCCCAGCCCTGCCCCCTCCCCAAACCCAGGGCAGCAGGAGCATCCTCCGTGTTTCATCCGGATCCAGCCACCTCCGGCGCTGGCTGCACTGGGAGCGGTTCCCACCCTGTCCCCTGCAGCTGCCACCTGCCCCCCCCCTCTAGAAACGCTGTAGCTGAATCGTAGTCTTTATATTTTCTTTTTAATCTGCAATCTGAGGTAGCCTAGTGAGTGTCGTGTATTTAGTGGCGTGTTATTTTTAATCGCGGTGACTAACTTGTGGACATCAGTATTTTCAATTTTCTCCGTATCTTCTTTCCATGTGGTCTGTGCTCCGAGTGTACGTGAAATGAAACACGTTTGCCCTTTCAATGTGTCTAATATTGAATTATACTTATATATTATATATATGCTTATATCCTTCTTATACCCATATAGACCAATGTCGATGTGTTACACGCAAGTTTTATACTCTAATATTTATATTGCTTTTTTCTTTGGGAAAAAAAAATAATAAAATGGTTTCTTCTGAATGAGTGGTATTTATTCTGGTGGGAAAAGGGAGGCACAGATGGTGCTGCTGACAGGGGGTGCTTCAGCCCCTGCCTTGGCTCCAGCAGTGGGGATGCTCTTGGGGCACCCCCAGTCTCGTTTCCCCCAGGCCTGCTCTGGTGGCACCCCCATCCTTTGGTCTCCCAGGCCTTTGAGTGGAGGGTGACATGGCTGTGGGTCATGACTGAGGACGTGATGGGGTTCCAAGAAGATCCAGCTGCCCCTCTCCATCACTGCAGGGCTCTGGTCACTATTGCCCGGTCCTGGAGGATCGGGAGATCCCAGCTGGGAATCCATCACCCTCCCCCATCACCACCATCAGGAATCCACTCTCCCTTCTCCAGCCCTGCTCTGGTTTGCTTTCCGTGGTCTCCCCTCTCTGCACTCGGGGACAGCGGGTGGGAGAGCACTGACACATCGTGACCGGAGCTCCCTGGCCAAGACAATCCTCCCACCCTCTCCCTGCGGGGGTCCGACACGGGCTGAGGAAAACATCCCGTGGCTCAGGGTGTCGCAACCCTGGAGGAAAAAAATAAACTGCTGCTGGCCAGATGTGAGGGGGAGGGTGGGGGAGCAGTCTCGGGAGACAGACAGACAGACAGACAGGCAGAGCCCGGGGCTGGGCGTTGGGGCCGGTCCCCCCCTGATGGCAGAGCCCAGGAGGTTTGACTGGTGATGCCACTCGGTGCCTGGAGCTGAGGGTCCCCAGGTGGGTGACGGTCACCGCCGGCGGGGAACAAAGAGGCTTTGCCGAGCTCCAGGGGTGGGTTTGGCTTGAGGAGCCGCAGCCCCCCCGGTGCCCCGAGCCCCGCGGTGTCCCCGTGTCGCGGCTGCCGGTGTTGGGGTCAGGATGTGCCCAGTGAGAGGGGGCACACGGAGTTTCATTTCATTTCTCTCCCGCGCTGAAATCGCCCCAGGGCACGGCGAGAAGGGGAAGCCGCAAACACAGACCTGGCCAATTAGCACTGATGAAAGAAACCCGGTCAGGCGCGCTAATTAGCGGGGCCAGGCGGGAGCGGAACGTGCTCAGTGCAGCGTGGAGAGCTTCGGGAATTCCCGAGCTGAGGCCAACAGAAACAGTCCTGACAAAGGGGACACAAGGAGCGTGGCGAGCCAGAGCCCCCGGCAGGCGCTCGGGACATCGCGGGGCTCCCCGGAAGGGTGGCCTGGCTTGAGGAGGTCCTGGAGCTGGGATGGGAGCGGCACGGGAGGTCTTCCACTGCAGCCACGGTGGGGATTCAGCAGCAAAGGCTGAGGTGCCCAGCCAGCTCCAGAGGGATGTGCCTGGGCCAGGGTGTCCGTGCTGGGCTGCCATGAACAGCCCTCGGCAGACAAAAGGGGCTCGGATCTTCCTCCACCCTGGTGTCCTCCTGCTGCTGCTTCTCCCCTTTCTCCATCTCCTTTCCCCATCATGGGATTAGCTCAGCACCTCTTCCTCCCCTCCCTGTCATTGTCCCAGGTACACCCGTGCTGTGGGACCAGGGGAGCATTGGACTCCGCAGGCAGCAGGGCTGGGAAGCTCTTGGTGATACAGGAATGGGTCACACGGGGGTGGAGACCCCTTGGTTCCCCCTCTGGGGACTGTCCCCAGCTCACTTCCCATCCAGATGCCACAGG